TCCAACGCTCAAGTCAGCAATACTCAATACTTTAGAGAGAGAGGCTCTCAAGGAGTAATTGCAGAGAGAGAAGCGTAGAGATTAATTACCTTCTTCAGAGGTGGTTGGGGGGTATTTATAACCCCAAGTGCTGACATGTATCTGCACATGTAAACCTCTCATTGGCCCACGTGGTGATGCCCACATGGGTATGTCCCCTCCTCTTGGGCCTGTGGGCACGTAGTTGGGCCTACTGTATGTGGCCCTCAGAGGGCGTTGGGCCTAATCCCAACAGGTCCCTTCTTCGAGTAAGGCTTGGTGGTGCAAGGGAGGAGATCCGGATTTGGGTTATCGTCATGCTTGCCTCATATAATAAAGGAACTAAGATTTGGGTTCCCTTTGTTATGTGAATATCGTGTGAATATCATGTGAAGGAGAAGGTCAATTTTGGGTGCGAGGAAGTCTAGATCTAAGAGGCAATTCGGATCTAAGTTCCCTCTACACCCACATTTGTATTTAGGTTTTATTTTTCAAATCTTGATTGCTGCAATTTTGGGTATGAAAGCATTAAAATTTGAATGATAAGAATTGGAATTTGCAGATCTAGGTATTTATTTTGGGTACTTATTTGATTTTGCGGAATTGGAAAGCATTAAATTTTGGAATTAAATAAAATTGGTTATTTCTTTGATTTTTTTTTACTTTAATTTGAGTTTAAAATGGAAAGTGCAACTTAGATCTAGGTTCTTTCCGAACCTAGGTGTGTTTGATTCAATTGAATCCAATGTGTGTTGGGTTCAATCGAACTCGGGTATGCTGGGTTTAGAAGGTTTTAGGGTTTGCAAAAGGTGAAAGGAAAGGAAGAGGAAGAAGAAAGGGAAAAAGAAAAAACAAAGGAAGAAAGCAAAAAAAAGAAAAAAAAACGTGATTTTTTAATTATTTTTGCCACGCTGTAAATCCTATGTGTCAAAATATTTTTACCTGTCATGTTTCTCTCTGTCAAGTAATTGTACACGTAGGTGAAATTTTAATGGAGGGACCAAATTTGGGTAAAAATGATAAACAGTAAGATCAAATAAGAGATTTTTTGAGTTAAAGGACTAAATCAAGGGTCCATACAATAGTTAAGGGACCAGGGATTTAACCATTTTGTAATCCGTACTTAAAAGATTGGCACTTTATTTAAGGTAAAAATTTACTTTTAGCTTTTATCTTATTAGATTTATAGGTTTTAATCCCTTACTTTATATTATGACATTTTTAGCCCTTTATCTTATATTATGATATTTTAAATCCCTCACTTTATACTATAACATATTTAACCTCTCACCTTATATTATGACATTTTTAGCTCCTCACTTATTAGAATTATAGAAAATAACCATCACTTATAATATTTTGTTAATTATGTTAACTGACTGTTAACTAGCAAAAACTTACTTTCAGTTAATAGAGTTAACAGTCAGTTAACAAAATAGTTCTGTTAATTGGCAAAAACCTATTTTTAGCTAATAGAGTTAATACTTAATAGTCAGTTAACAAAACTAACGAAATATTATAAAGTGAGAGCTATTTTTTTCAATTGGTTAAATACACTTTTTGATCCCTCTACTATTGAGAAAAGCCCTTTTTGGTCCTTTTATAGAAAAAATCCCCTTTTTAGTCCTTAAATTTTAAAATTCGACCCCTTTTTGGTCCTTCTGTTAAATTTTTGATTATCTGGCACGTTAATTAACAGAATCATTTAATTATTTTTTTATACAATTAATATTATAAATGATGTGAAAATTAGGTGGATAAAATTATAAAAATTAGGTGGGTAAAATTATAGGTACATGTAAGCATTTTGTGCCACATGTACAAATTAAAAATTTTATTTTTTAATTCATAGATTAAATGAATTTAAATGAAATTAACTATAATTTCTTTATCTTCTTCTTTCTCCTCATCCTCATCCTCATCCTCACCATTCTCTTTGCCATTCTCTTCATCATCCTTCTTCATCATACCTGCTGGAACCCAGCAACTTGGGTTTTGCGCAGAACCTAGATTTGGGTTCCATGGGGAACCCAGAAACTGGATTTCCGTGGGTTCTGCATGGAACCTAGTTCTGGGTTCCATGCAAAACCTAGATCTGGGCTGGGTTCCTCGATCCTAGTTTCAATTTCTGCTACATTGAGGAGTTTTGAGTCATCTAAATCAACGTTGTATCTTTTCTTTTCATTTCGCACAGTTTTATGGCATAGTGAGGCATCAATTTGTTTTTTGCTAGATCAGATTTTGATGCTTAGATCTTATTTTTGTGATTTTTGTTCAATTTTATTAAGAATGTAACCCAACCTTGTGTGTGATTATTGGTAATTCTACTGCATTATTGGTCTATCTCATTTGTAAAACAATTTTGATGAGACATCGAGAAATTTGAGGATAATTTCTCATTTTCTTGGTTTTCATAAGCAACTTAGAAAACTAGGTTCGAGGAACCCAGCAAAGGGGTTCTGCGAGCAACCTAGGATGATGAAGAGGATGACGAACAAGATGCTGATGACAGGATGATGCCGAGGATGAGGACTAGGATAAGGACGAGGAGAAAGAAGAAGATGAAGAAATTAAAATTAATCCTATTTAAATGCATTTAATTCATGAATTAAAATGTAAAATTTTTAATTGAGGAGTGCTAATGCACTCGCCTCCTACATTCTCTGGCCAACACTTTCATTTTTATTGGGCCACGTTATTCTAGTTTGGAAGAGGTTGAACTACAAAGCAGGAAACAAGCTTACGTGGCCCAATAAAAAGGGAAGTGTTGGCCGAAGAGTGCAAGAGGCGAGTGCCCTTAGCACGGCTATTTTCAATTTGTACATGTGGCATCAACATAATTTTCACATCATTTATAATATCATTTGTATAAAAAATAATCAAGTGATTCCATTAATTAACCTGCCACATCAACCAAATTTTAATGGAAGGACTAAAAAGGGGTTGGATTTTTGAACAGTAAAGACCAAAAATGGGATTTTTTCGGTACAAGGACTAAAAAAGGGTTTTTTCCTATAGTAGAGGGACCAAAAAAGGTATTTAACCTGGACTAAAAGTATCATAGTATAAAGTGAGGGGTTAAAACCTACAAATCTAATATGGTTAAATACCAAAAGTAGGTTTTTGCCCCTTAATTAATAGTGGGGTTTGCCTAATATGTAAACGTATAGGTTTAAAATGTATTAAATATCTATTTTTTATGATAAATTTATATTAAAAAATAAAAATTAATATTTAATTTATTAATTATTTAATTAAATTTATCTATTTAATATTAATATTAAGATTAATATTAACTTTTATAATTTATATATATTTATGGTAAAAAAATACTTTTAACCTGTATTTTTAAAATGTATCTTTAGAAAAACCCTTAATACTTTAGTTTGTGTTAAGGGATGAATTTGCATGGTTGTGTAACTAATGACATGTGTGGGTCCACATCAGCAAAGGACCACAATACTTATCTTCTCACATCCGACGTGTGATTCCAATTTTCTACTAATTGCTACTGTGGAATCAACATTGCTAGAGGGGGGCACTTATTCGTTTCATTGGAAATATCGTGGAATATGACTCACTCCAGCATCTATCTCCACACACATGGCTAGACATGGCTAAGTCTATTTCGGCAACATGGCTGGGTGCTTCTTAACAGCCATGTCCTCTACAACGATGTTCTCTGCTGTATCTCGTGGCTCCCAACAATGGGCAAAGAGCTTATTTTGCTACATGGCTCCCATCAAAAGACAACGAGTTGATCTATATAGCTTCAAGCGATGGACAATGGATCGAGCATCTAGTCTTACATATCCTTATCATTGGTTCCCATCAATGGACAATGGGCTGATCATATTACATTTATATAGCTCCCAACAATGGACAAAGGACCAGATTTGCTACATATCTATCTCAATAGCTCCTGGAAACATACAAAGAGTTAGCGTAACTTGGTACGATTAGCGTAAGGCCGGTAACAATTGCAACCTTGCAATCGGACGAGATGGCTACCCTCCAACAATGAAAATCCGTCAAGTAGCGACCAACGGTCCCTTGGTGGTCGCACGTGCATGGTGGTGCAATGCTCGGCATGCAACAACAACCAAGACCACCCTCTGACGGTACGGGTATGGCAAGAAGGGCCAACGTTTGTCAATGGTATCACACCTTGTTGTATCAGAGACCATGGATGTGGCTGACGTCCCTCTTCCATGGAGACAGCTCCACCTCTCCCTATCACATCTTCATCGTTATGGCAGAGTTTGGTTTAATGAGATTTACCCCTTCGCGACTTGGCAGATTA